CCAGGAATCTTTTGTCATGTGTGAAGTGGAATGGCTAGTGACTCTAGCTAAGAGTTCAATCAGGCACAAACAAAGCGCTGTTTTCCTATTTTCCTTTGTTATAGAGCCCATCTTCCATGTTGGTGCTGACTACCCAGACTTTCACTGGCAGGACACCAAAGCTTCATTTGGGGCCTATTGTTCAGTCAGTTGAGGGGCCAGGCATGGGATACATGTGCTAAATGCTAAAGTGTCTAGGCCAGCATGGCCTCTGGCAGTGTGAGCAGGTAAGTCTATTCTAAGATTCCATGTTTTCGACCACACTCGCAGGAGCGGCAACAGTAGTCCCACCAAGCACGGGGTCACCATCTCATCCCAGCACATCCCTACCTCCCAGAACACCTCAGACATGGCTGCCACATGTGTCATGAGTCATGGGGTAGAGAGACCTAATGTGAGGTGTGAAATCCTGGGCGGTGGAGAAGGCCTACCACAGGCAGCACTACCATGCACAGGTTCTCGGTCTCACAGGTGGAAAAGGGGGGCTAAGAGGAAGACTGAAATCCTATTATATTTCTGGACCCCTCATGACAGGGGCAGAGTTCCTGGCTCACTAGAAGCCCGCCGGACATCGTCCCCAGCCAGAGAAGGCAATACTGGGCAGGCACATATTGGAACAAGTCCCCAGACCTTGTGTTGCAAGTTCAGCTATAATACCTAGGTAAAGTGGCACAGCCCCATCCCCAGCCTCACCGCTCCTTCACAGGCCAAGCTCCTCAGCCACCCCAAACGCTGCCAACCACACTTAGAAGGAACACACAACAGGCTCCCCTCGTTGCCCACAGCACTAACAGAAAGCCAGCTGGGGTGGGAGGAGACAAAGAGCCACTGAGGCAGGGGCCCTCAGCAGGGGCAGAATGTTCCCACCCCTTTCCTGTTAGTGAAGCCTCCAAGCCTGGAGTCTTAGGGTTTCCCTGGCACCATGAGGCTCAGCTGTGCCTCAGAGGGCTTTATGAGCAAACACTCTTAAGATGTGGATTGTCAGTTGAGCAGTGATGGCACAAGCCTTTAACCCCAGCAGAGGCAGATGGCTGAGTTTGAGGCCAGCCTTGGTCTACAGACAGCCAGGGCTACACAGAGAAACCCAGGCTTGAAAGGCAAAACAAAAAACAACCCATGCTGAGCAGCAAGGCTGTCTGCCTTTATGCAAGCCACATGCTTGGAGTTCTACAACTGGGAACTGGGGTCTGGACAAGCAAGTGATCTGGGGCCCCCTTACTCAGAAGACACCCTGCCTTTCACCAGATGTACAGACAGCAGCACCTACTTTACTGCCAACTGAAAAGCTAGAGGGTATGAGGGCTACTAGGATGGCCAGCAGTAGCATTGTTTTTTGTTTGTTTTTTTTAAATCAAGTGATAAGAGAAACAACCGTGAGGAGAGGTCTAAAAAACTGTTAGCAAAGCGTCAACCAGCCCCATGTGGAGCCACAACCCCCACTCTGTCTGCTCCTAGGGCAGCACAAGACAGCGGCACAATATAGGCTTCAAAATCTCAAAGAACACCCTTGGTCCTTTACAGAACGATTGCCAGCCTCAAATCTAAACAGCCACTTTACATTACAGCTATTCTGGGGCCTTTCACAGGTTTTCCCCTGCAAGGACACATGGGAGCGGAGGCTAGCACCCCTTGGAGGGCAAGTGGGTACAGCAGCACACCTGGGTAGGTATGAAAGCAAGGGCGATGCTCAGATGATGCTATCAGCATTCAGGGAGGCAGGGAGCCATCTTGCCATAGGGCACTCAGAGGCCAAGCTTCTGTTTTATATAAACATTAATGAACCCTGTAGGCAACTCCTCTGCTCTGCTTCTCCGTGCCTCCCATGGTCTGAAGTGTTAAGGTCAGTTTGCTATCAAAATACAACAAAATATCAACACACGGGCATGATGTCAGGAGCCTCACAGCATCTCAGAAACTAAGGCAAACCCCACCAGGAGCCACGGCACAAAGCCCAGGTTAACTAGTTGGAGGCATCACATTAGAGAAACACATGGCCAAGAATTTAAGCAGCAGCGTCGGCCTCAATGCCTTCTGTGAACTCACTGTAGTGCAACCCAGCAGCTTTGGGCTTCAACTGGCTGAAAATGAAATGCTCGCAACTATTTCTCTGAATACCACGGATAGGGCAGAGGGCCAGCAGCATCAAGATGAAGCATCTAGTGGCAACCGTCATTCTGGAACTCACGGAGTCAGGACTATGGCACCAACACAGGGGTTCTAGAAAGCTGCTTGTATCTAAACAAGGTCTGATTCTTCTGATCACTGGTCAAACCTGCCCTACATGGAAGGCTTTTGGGGGACATACTATATGAAAGTCTATAGTTACAGTCTATAGTTTTAGGGACTTCCTGGAGCTCTTAGTTGTTTACTTTCCAGTCTTACTGAGTTCCCCTGCAGGTTGTAGTGTTTTACCATCCTATTGTTTCCCCTTCTTTCTAACATCCTGTGTCTTACGGAACTTCCCTCTAAGATGGAGAGTTTTAATCCCAGAGGAAACTCTTCCACAGCTGGCACGCACACACACATAAATTGTAATATAATAAAAAATAATTCTAGGTAAAAAAGTCGTTAGTTATTACCAAAGCCTTAACTACTACACAGCCTAAAACAAAACAAAACAAAACAAAGAGCAGTGTCTCAGTGTACAGCTCTAGCTGATACATAACTCCTTTGGTAGCCCAGGTTGACCTTAAACTGACAAGAGATCTTGCCTGTGTCTCCCAAGTGCTAGGATTCAAATTATGCACCACCATATCTAATGATCTTTATCTTTTTCTATGAAATCTGTGGTCCCCTTCCTGAGATAAGGGTGGTCAGAACACATCCTGAACTGAAAGACAAAGGCTGGCTGGAACTCACCTGCACCCAGGCACACGTTTTGAGACTGGGGGAATATCTAGGGCTCCTGCCTAGGGTGGCCATTAGTGATAGCCTGACATTCTGGAGGTGGACTGCTTCTGGCTTTGGCGACGCAGGGAAGAGAAAGGGTAGCGCTCCCTCAACAGCTACAAGCTGCTGCCCTGTGTTGCAGGTTCTGAGGGTGGAAACTAGACCTTGTCCCTCCTCTGCTAGATCCCAAGACTGAGCTGTCTTGTCACTGCTGTGGGATAAACAAGGTTCATGACTTGGAGGCACAGCTGTGACACCTGCCCCTGGGAAGCGAAAATGGTGTGAAATATGAGGTTTAAGGGTGCTACCCATCAGTCTGAGTGGAAGTGTGGCAGAGGCAGTTCCACAACAAGCAGCTTCCTGAAGGAACGGCACCTGGCCCAGGCTTCTGAAGAGCTGGTTACCCAGAGTCTTCCGGGAGAGGACAGATTCTCTGGGCTCCTTTCCTGCTTTCGAAGTGGGGCTACGCCAACAGTGAACCATGACAGGTGGGAAGGTGGCATATGCAAAGGTTTCCATTCATCTTCTAGGGTTCTCAGGTCAGCATGACAAAACATCAACTCAGGACATGGGAGCTGCACAGGCTGGCCTGCAGACAGCCAGAGGACCTTGGCTGGAATGGAGACATTCTTAGTCCACGGCCCATCTGAATTCAGGATTTAACTCAGCAGAAAAGAAGACTGAACGTATCAGGTAGTCACAAAGGTTCCTTGTGTGAGGGTAAGCCCAACAGAGTGCAGGTGAATGAGGCTGGTTCTGAATGCCTCTCCAGTGAAGCCCTGTAGTACAGCAACACCACAGGTGAGGGACGAGAGCCTGGCACCTCAGGAAGGTTCAGGAACACTTACCACTCCCACTTTCCCGAAGTAACCTCCCTAAGAGGGTGGAGATGCTGCAGATGTGACTGGAGTGTATGGGGAGGTCTGTCCAAAACAGCCCACAGACAAGATGAAATGGGGCTTGATCTCCACTGCACTCCTTCCTTCCAAGTCACACCAACCAAGATCTAGACTCCTGCAACTCTACAGACCCTGGGAGCCATCTCCTGTCCACCCATGGCTCTGCTGACCTAAGAGCAAGATGACCATGTTCTCCATCTAGATGGCTGGGGCTCCAGTGATGCCCCCCAAGAGATGCCGAGGAGACAAGCAAGGCAAACACTGGTAGATACCTCCTACCTCCTGAGACATGCCTGTAGGGGCTGGGTGGGGACAGGTCTGAGCAGCCTTGAACACAGGGAGGCAGTACAGAAAGTGCATGGAACAGAACAGAAGGCCCAGTGAAGAGGGCTGCCATCTGCCAAAAGGATGCAGACTCATACCTGCCTGGTGGCCTTACAGCTGGGCCTGTGCCCTCCATGCCAGAGATGACGACTCTGGGAGGTCTCAGGCCTCCTGGGGTTGCAGCTGATGGGACCTCCCTGTGACTATCTAGCATCTGCTCTCTGACACTGCTACTGAAGACAATCACACTAGCTTGTGTTGTACCTCCCACTCCACTGCCTTTGGACTCCCACACTGCCAGGTGCACACAGGAAGAAGCCCCAAACCCGGGAAACATGTTGCACCTTAAATCTGCTCAGGCAGCAGGCCATTCCTGGGCACCGAGTGCTGCAGAAAGTGCAGCCATTGCTTTTCTCTAAAACAGAGCACAGTAGAAACGCCCAATTTCTAAAGGATGACACATCCCAGAGCCACTGCCTTAAGACAGATAGGAAGGCAAAAGCTGACAGAGTACTTAAAAACAGTCTTCTGTATCTCTTCCTTTAGAAATAACTTTTACAAACTCTGGGGCTAGCAGTGCATGCTCCTCAGTTTACTACTCAGCTTCCAGTAAGGACAGGTAACCGCCTCAGAAGGCACATGACAACCTGCCAAGTGCAGGCTGACATTAAGAACAAGATGCCTCACACGAACAGAAAAACACCAGGAATCCCTCGCCCCGCCGCTTTTTAAATTTTGTTCAGAGTGGGGCTGCTGAAAACCAAAGAATTCTTGAAAAGCCAGCAGTCAAATAGCCTGTGCTGTTCCAAGCACAGTGGGACTAGGGAAACAGCCATTCAAGTACACAAGTGGCATTTTGTGATCAAATTTATTTTTGTTTCAATTTCACTTACTTTGTTTTACTGTAATTTACACAAGAGACTGCCAAGTAAACTGAGTATTTTACATTCACCACACACACCCTCATTCTTCAGTTAGAAAAACCTTTAGAGTCCGCACAGGGCACACTCATCTCGTGTGCCCAAGCTCCCAATGAGACAGATGTCAGTGAGTTAGTTTCACTGGGGTAGAGACTGGGCTCTCCAGTGCCCAGGGTTGGCAACAACCCTTCTGGTGATGACTTTTCCACCCACACGACACCCTCTTAAACCCTTTCAGTGCCCTGAAAATAAACATCAGCCTTGATCTTGAGTTTAGAGGACACATGGAACACAGGGTTTGTTGCTGAGGATAGGAGGGCATTGCAATGCAGCAGGAATCTCTGCCATTGCTCCCATAGGGGTACAGGACATAGGAGGAGGGGCTCGAAGGGCAAGGTGGTCAGCAAAGGGGGTACTGATGTGGTCTGACTGCAGGGGTGGTGTGTTATGAGGGGATGGAAGTTAAAGATAGTGTGTGACCTGAATGATTCAACAGTGTGATTCTGGTCAGGTGTCCGGGACTGACAAGAGGAAAACAGCATCAGACAGAAATTTGATTAAAAAAAAAAAAAAAATTCTTGCTTAGCTATTGTTCCTTAAAAAAAAAAAGAGAGAAGAAAGAGGGAGGAAGAGGAAGCAGTGTCGGCAGCAATGCTGGGCCTCAGGGTGCTGACAGCCCTGTGCCATAGTCAACCTGTTCCTAGCTCATCATCAGCATCTCCCCCTGGCTTGGACTGCAACAGGAAAAGAGCTAAATGTGACTGCTCTTCTAACCTGTGAGCTGAGAGCAATGCAGCCCATCTACACAGTCTCCATGCTGTAATTCCAAAAAAGCCATTTCAGAAACAAAGTTCTAGAGAAGTGCTCTGCACAACCAGCAATACCGTTGAGGTTAATTCCTTTTTCACCTTGTTTGAGTAACCAGAGTCTGAATATTGTCTAGTGTTTATTATAAATCACAAACCGTCATCAATGTTTTTTGCTAGATTTGATGTAGAAAAATATTTGAAATTCAAAATACAAAAATCCAATAAAAAGTGGCAATTTTAAAAAAAAGAATTTCCCCAACCCTTGGGCAAACCAGTAAAGAACTTTAATTTTACTCCTTACTTGAGAGATGTTGTTGGATTTGGCTAGAAGATAGCGGCCACCCAGAAATAAATAGTTATAAATACATCCAGAGTTTATATTCCAGATTTACTGGAGTATCTAAAAATTTGAAGAAATTTTTCTGTAGGAGAGTCTGCTGCTGATGGGATGAAAATAAAAGTGTGTGTGTGGTGACCTGAACAAAACAGAAACATAACCAAGGGCTATCCAAACTGGTCCACACCTGGCATCCATACAGCACACATGGCAGTCCATTTGTCCATCAAGGGCATCATGTTGATGAGTATTAAAATCTGTTCCAGGTACACGTACTGAAAATATTTTCTTTAGTATTTTTGCTGAGGACAGGTACAGTACTTTGGAGGAATGTACTGATCCCTTCAGTGTTTGCATGTACATATATACACTCGGGTGTGTATCTAGGCCTATAGCCGTATGTGCTTTACATACAGCTATACACACACGTACACACACACACATAGCCATAATTGTGTGTGTCTGGGTGTGTGTGTGTGTACGTGTGTACATGTGTGCCTGAGTCATCACAGGCACATGCTGGGAACGTCAACACTGAGAGACACTGGTCACGTCTTCACTCGTCACTGGCCGCACTTGTTCCCCTCACTTGACCTTGACTCCGTAGCTGTAAGAAAGCGAAGAAACACACAGCAAGTTAGGCCACAGGCTCTCTTGACACATCAATACGGAAAACTTTGGTAGAAATGTTCCCCTAACACTTTGTACCCTAAAACTTTGTTCTGTTTAAAAAGATTCTAGCCATGCTAAAGGCAAAATATTTTGTTTCATCACAGGGAAAAGTAAATTTGAAGCAGGAACAAATCATAGAAAGTTGGTACTCCATCAAAGTGACACTAACTGAAAAAAAACTTTAAAAAAATAAACATTAACTATAAAGAACTTTGGGGACTGGTTTGATGTAGCAGCTCCTTTTCATGACAGAAACCTCCCTCACAGTCAGTGCAGGGCAGGCAGCTCCATAAGGGAGCGGGAAGGAGGCTCAGTGCAGGTGCAGGCACACGGCCCCACTCCCTTCCTTGGACATCTGCACAGAACAGTAGTGTACCACTGCTCTTACTGTCTGTCTAGGCCTGTGGGTTGTGTCTGGATGCTCTCTGCTCCACCTATGGAAATGTCACAAGGGCACATAGACTATAATAGGGAACACCACAGAAAAATGTTAGACTTACACAGTAAAGTTAACTACAGAGCAAACAGGGAGACTGTGGCACACAGAACACTTTTCACCTACAGTGAACTACTGAGGTTGGCCTGATGGTGTGGCGGGAGGGTCCTGGATTTCCTTAGGAATGATTCTACTGAGAAACAGGTCCACTAATTGGTTGGCTATCAAAAGGTTAAGCAGCTTCCAGGACAGTGCCACTGAATAAGCAGCTATACTGACAATGGGACAAAGACTGTTACATCCAGCCTGGCCCACAGATGGATCCAGTAAAACATGCTCACGGTTTCTACAATAGGCTTTGCTTCAATTCTTAGAGTAGAATCTGGCCAACACTGGCAAGAGCCTGTGTGCTCAGCAGCTAACTCCCCATCACCAGAAGGTGCAGGCTTTCACACACTCCTTTACCCGGCCTTCACTTACACAGTTTGATAATGTCTCTGACCTACGGGCCTCATCTAGGCATCAGCAGCCGACGTGCCTCGGACGGAACCCTTCTTACGCATCTAAATGTAAAATAAAACCATGAGCTGCTAAATTATTCTGCGTAGGGGTTAGTAAGCAAGTGGAGAAAAAAGGTCTAGCAACAATTATATATAGACTGCCTGCTTCTCATGTATCCCCAGAAGGAATGGAGTTCCGAGACCTTCAACTGGTCCTGGCTCCAACAAATTTGTGGAGGGGCCTTCCTTAAACAGCTTGGAAAGTTAACTGTGTCTGCATCTAAACAAAGGCGTCCAGTCTGGCAGCAAATTATCAGAAATACAATTGCAAGGGAAGTGTCAATATACTTTGAGAAAATGCTTCTGGGGTGTGGTTCACCTTTCACTGTCTCTAGACCAGACAGGAAGCTGTGAAAGTGCTGCCACCACGGCTCTTCTTGAGAGCAGCTTCTCAATGCTTTCAGATTTATTAAGAGCAAGGATCAAAGGAAGAGACAAAGAGGAACAGCACACGGCAAGAACAACCAGCAAAAGAGTAGGCATTTGTAACAGTAACAGAGAAAAACAACGAAAAACAAGACAACAACAACAAAAACAAATCTCAAAGAAGAAAGCCAGAAATAGAGAGAAAACAAACAGTACTGTATTTCTAAAACAACCCCAACTCCACTCCACCCCATGGGTCTGGCCAGTTCTCTTCCACTACCTGGCTAATCCTGACAGCTTTTCAGGCTGCAGGCCACATACACAAGCATGCATGTGCAAGTCCTTTATATGGCCAACTCAAGGTGCTACACATTCTCAAGTCTAAAAGACATTTGAAAAGAAGAAAGTCAATCCTTAAAATACCTGTGAGTTAAGAACACTGAACTGTATGAAATTCCCGCAGAACTGCAGGCCTCTTCAGGGGAAGGTGTTACCGGCCATGCAACCAGACTCAGTGTTGCCCATGTTCTGAGAACTTGAACAACCCAACTAGTTTTGGGGCATATTAGCAGCAGCACCGCGGAAATGAAACAGCCCTGTGACCTCACGAGCAGGTGCTAATGTGAGGACCGTATGCTGAGATCTACCTATAACAATTCTGAAGAATTCACCCATGAAACAACCACCTACACCCTGACCCCAAGACAGACTGCAGCAGGTTCATCGGGGATTTCACTCAGTCTGAGCCCTGAGCTTCTTCAGTGATACTTCCAAATGGCTGACTGGAGAGCAAGTTGCTGCTGGGAGCAAGAGTCAACACCTCCAGACGAGGGCTCTCATGGCATGTTCAGGTATCAGCCGCCTGAGACTTTCCAAAGAACCAGGAGTGGAGAGCAGGGGAGCTCAGCCATGTTCTGTCCAGGGGGTCAGCTGGTCACCAGCGATCAGTCTTCCTCAACTGACAGTTCACCATAAACTCACAACCAGGGCAAGGGCTCTGGGAAACAGTGGCTGGAGGCAGCAGTGCTACAGCGTAACCAGCAGCTGCTCCAGAGCTGATGGCAGAAAGGGTGAGTGTTCTGGAGCTGGAGCACTAGGAGGGAGGGCACAGCAGGTGAGGGTCTGTGTGGGAGGGGTGGTGCCTGGCAGGCCCTTAGAGGAGAACTTAGCTGTTGAAAAGTGAGCACGAGGACGAGAGGTGTGGGAAGGCAGACTGGAGCAGTGGACCTATGCTTGCCTGCTTAAATACCCATGGCCAGCGGAGAACAAAGGCAGAGGGAGACCCTTCACTCCTGTCATCCCATCATTCCACCATCCTACTCCAAAGACCCAGATCTCAAGAGTCTTCACCTCAGTAAGAGAAACCAGCCCCTTTGAATGCCTCTGTGGGAAAGTACATTCCACATTCAATCAAGCTAAAATAAACTGAAGCAAAAGCCGTTCATAAGTTGAAGTTAGTCTCTAGTTTACTTTAAACATAAGATAGGCTAAAGTATTCTATTGTCCTATAAAGAATATACACTATACTCCTTTCTGAAGATTGTGTATGGCTAATTAGAAGCAGGCTTGCCCCAATCACCCGAACTAACCAAGTGCAGACACAACTTCTGCACTGTGCTCCAGCAGACAGCAGTCCTTCTGTGCCAAAGAGCCTGACTTCCTGCCACTCCCCATGACTACACGGGGCTCTAGCCTCAGAGTCCATCAGATGCCACACCGGCGGGGCTTGCAGGGTCAGGCCCGCTGGCAGGACTCAGGATGACTGGACAACCCCAGAGTCCTGGAACACCTTGAATTCACTCCCCACTTTGGAAATGAACTGTCAACTGCACACAAGCATGGCTCAGGGGGGAAAACAAAACAAAACAAAATCCTTTCTTAGCCATGACACTATACCCTGACCCCCTGCCAAGGGTCACTGGAATTTACCAAGAAAGAAGAGCTCACTGCTAGGTGGGAGAGGGAGGTGGCACTGTTGGAATCAAGGGGATTTACCAGCCTCGCCGTGCCTAAGGAGACAGCTGAGCTGACTGCTGAGCATGCTGAGCTAAAAGGACTGAGACAGATACTGTAGCAGAGAACTGATGCCTGAGAGCTGGTTCAAAGCACTGGATGTTTTTTCAAGGACTACATTCTAGGTTAATAAAGTTCCGGTCTACCTTTAGGAGGGGGTGAAGGGCATCAGGTTTTGAAAGGCTCCATTTTGATGAAAATAAACATGGTAAGTAAGAAAGAGCTTCCAGCAGCACTCTTCCTACTGCTAAGCACTTGCTAAGCATGTACACTTTTAGAAAATGAAAACAGAACTGCCACAGCAGGTCTTACTGTTTCTAGTTCTTTCTGAGTCTCATCTTCCATTCTCCTGATGTCTTCCATTGTCAGGTCAATCCACTTGTCAATCCAACAAAAGAGCTGGCGATGTAAGTTTGTAAATATCCGTTTTTCTTGCTTTTAAAACAAAGTGGCAAAAACATCCAATTAGTGACACATTAACTTTATATGTCCCAAGCAACCCATAAAATGAACATGTACTTAGTATAAAAAGACCACTTTAAACAACAGCAGAAACTAGGTCAAGTATGACGGTGCATTCCTTTAATCCCAGCACTCGGAAGGCAAAGGCAGGCGGACTTCTGAGTTTAAGGCCAGCCTAGTCTATATAGTGAGTTCCAGAACAGCTAGGGCTATGTAGAGAGATTTTTGTCTCAAAAATAAACAAAAATGTATTTAAAAAATGTATTTCTTGGTTTTTCAAGATAAAATGTTTCTGTGAAGCCCTAGAACTTGCTCTGTAGACTAGGTAGGCCTCAAACTCAGAGGTCCACCTGTTTCTGCCTTCTGAGTGCTGGGATTAAAGGTGTGTGCCCCACCACCCAGCTAAATCATAAAATCTTTACATCAACGGAAACCTTAATTCGACCCTACTATCATTTTGTAGAGAAAAATAAAGCCCTTGTGAAGAGGCCACAAGACAGCTCAGCAAGTAATGATGCTTGCCTCCAAGCATGAGCCCAAGCTCTGGATGGTGGAAGAGAAGAACCAACTCCCACAAACTTCTGCCCTCCACACCACCCAGTTGGTACACATCCCACACACAACAAATAAACATAATTCAAGTTAATTTCAAAATTCCCTGTGAAATGGGAAAGAATCTCCACTGTCAGAAAGATTAACAGTCTGACAAAAGCAAAAGCGCATGGCATGCATGATTGGACTCCACATGCTCCTGCTGGGCCCCTGATAATGACACCTGTTCTCAATGGTAAGGCTCGAAGGTCAACTAGATTCCTCCACAATAAGACTACACAATAAGACTACAGAGTCTTTACCTATGTATCAAAGAACACACTGTACTTAAGGAAGCTCCCAGTGCTTAGAGATACAGTGATGAAAAGCATTAGGTACTGTGCATTAATTCTTCTGTGCTCTACATTACAGCAGATGTGTATTATACATACAAACATATACATCTAACATGTAAAGAAATACTGGCTTTAAATGCCCAACTATTTAAGTTGCTTTCAACTGTCCTAAAGAGAGCAAAGTATATACAACAATTGATACTCTGGGGACAATTTTCAACTTTTTCCCCATGAACAGAAAACTTCATTTTTATACATGGGGTTTCTCTTCATCTAAATGAGACTGTCCATGTATTGATTATGATGTCAAAAGGAGAAGGCCAGCGTGTACAGACTGTGCTCGTGGGCCGGCAGGGATTAGGTGCAAGAATCAAGGGTTTCAGTAGTTTAAAAGTAGAGAAGTTATCTGACCTGCAGAACTACTGTGGGAATCCAGTGGCTAACAGGGATGTCTTCCTTATTCTGTGGGATTTCTTTTTAAGTGTATGAATGCATGTCTGTGTATCGCATGCTTCCAGTGCCCCTGGAGGCCAGAAAAGGGTGTGGATCCCTGCATCTGTTGTTACAGACAGTTGTAAGCCATCATGTGGATGCTAGGAATCAAACCCAGGTCCTCTGGAAAAGCAGCCAGTGCTTTTAACAACTGAGCTGTGTCTCCAGCCCCTATCCACATCCTTGTAATGATGGGGGTAAAAATCTTACAGAAAGAGCAAATATGGGTATTCCCACATCTTTCTGTGTATTCATAACCCAGTCCGTTTTGTTGACCCGTGTGATGTTGGTTGGGCAATGCTAGGCACAGCAGTACTTACACCATTGTGAGCCCCTTCTACACCTAACTGCTTATGTTATCTTCATTTTTAAAAAAGAAATTAGGATCGGAATCCTTGGATCACGTCTATTCAGGGTTTCCTGCTCTTGGCAAGACCTCTACAGAAGATACTCCAGACAAGACAACATGAGTGCCAGAGAGAAGTGGTCAGGATACCAGGGCTCCTAAGGAAGGGCTTTGTACTCCAGTGCTGGAAAAACTACCAGGAAAGCACACTGAAGAACAACAACAACAACAACAACAACAAAGCTCTGTATTTCTTCTAAAAACATCCCTTAAGGGCTGAAGAGATGACTCAGTGAGGTTAAGAGCACTGTCTGCTATTCCCAGAGGGCCCAGGTTTGGTTCCCAGCACCCATACAATGTCTCTCAACTGTTTGTGACCCCAGTTCCAGGGTGTCTGATGCCCTCTTCTGGCCTCCACAGGCACCACATGCACAGACAGATATGCATGCAGACAAAGCAACCATACACATAAAATAAAATCTTAAAAAAAGAAAACAAAAGAAAAAAGTCTCTCAGAATCTCGTATTTGGATTTATGTTTTCAGAGGATCAGAGACACATGAGGATGGTAACTTTTGCATCAAAAAGGAGAGAACGCAGTCTAAGACCACTTCCAAGAGCCACCTTCTCAATTTTCTACCCACATGAAGTCCCAGCCTTGAGACTCACCTTCTGAATGAAGTTCTCTACTTTGCTCTGCAGCCCCCACCACTTGAACTTGATGGTCACCAGCTTATAGGCACACATCTTCGGACAGTCTGGGGTGTTTGCCAGCTCCTTCTGCATGAGAAAATTGGAAAGCTCTGACTTTAGTACTTAGGTTTCGATCAAAACTCACTGCTATATAACAACATCACAGGCACACAAGGGAAGCCAGTCTAGCGTGTCTAACTCAAAAATTTGGAATTATTTGAACAGAAGAATAGCATTCCTCTCCTGCCACACACCAAGTTACTCTCCGGCTGTGAGGCTGCTTAGCTGGCGTCACTGGCGTTCTTGTGTGTAGTGAAGTTATTATCCTAGTGAGCCTTAAACAAGGTAAATTATGACCTAACCCCCCGGCGGACCTATGTGCTCACGAAGCTTCACCATTTTCTGTATTTTCAAATATCTTCAAGTGGAGCAGCACAGTTCATGATGTCGGACGGCCACAACCAGCAATGTTAATGTACACTGGTAACAGCATGGCTGTGCATGCAGCTTCAATTTCCACAGAGTACCAGACACTGGTATTCATGCAAATGATGCAGACAGAAAATCAAGTCTTGCTTGGATAAATGGAAATGTTGTGAGCAACTGTCCTCTAAGTGATGTGACTGCTCTGTTGGGGAGTTCAGCTGTGCCTGGCTGTAGCAGGAGCAGTGCCCCAGCTGGGCTTCTTGACCGCTAACACACGTTCATGGAGTGTTGGGGAGGGTGATGCAACATCACCTGAGTATCCAGCTGTTCTGCCACCTACTACATGCAGCACTGCCTTAACTACACATGACCTTGAAGAGAAGCTGCTTTTGTGTGTATGTGTGTGCGTATATATGCATGTGTGTGTGCAAGTGCACGGATATAAACACCCTGGACACCGCACTTTGAAAATAGCTGGCTTCAGCAAGCATTAAGAGGGCACCATGCTCACATTGCCCTGTGCTTCTTGCTGTCAGGCACACAGACTTGGCTCAGGCAACATGTGAATTTTCAATGACCAAACAACATTGCTGCCCTTGGTGGAGTCATTCATCTGTAAAGGCTCTGCAGCCTTTCTCAGCCATGGGGGTTACAAGCTATGTCAAGTCCAGTCACCTGTCTTCAATAAGCCAATAAAAAGAGCCAACTAATGGAAAGCAGAAAAAGGAGGCTTACCATTATAGTCACATTGGGAAAAGGAACAAAGATAGGAGGCAAACCCCTCAAGTCTACCTTTGGAGTCCTGAGGTGAGTTTAAATATAGGCCAAGGCCATGTAAATAAGCCCTGTTGGGGTGTGGTCCCGCCCACCACTGATCCAGCATTGTCTGGGCTTCATTCTCATCCTGTAAGTTGGTGACAAGTTATTAGAACTGTGTGGAATATCTTTCTGGAAGACAAGGTCCCCCTCTGACAGGTACTGTTTCCTGGAAAAATTCCCACTGCTGTGAGTTCGATGTTTCAATAATCTCAAGTCAGAATGAGTCAGATACCAGTGTCTCTCTAGAACATCTTCATTTCTGTCATGCCAGCTAAACTGACAGGTGCCTCCTTCTCCCTGACTGCAGGCCTGCCTCTAAGCTGGGCACCTGGTATGGATGAGGTCAGCCACCTTGCCTCTGAAAGCCCAGTTCTCCAGAAAAGATGGCAAGGTGAGCTTCCCACAGACCATCTTTCCATTAAGCAATGAGCTGGTGCTGAGGACTTTACCCCAGGTAGTGCTGCTGAGCATGAGGACAATGTGGCTCAAGTGTCTGTCAGGTCATGAGCATGGGATCCAGCTGTGGCTCCCACTCTGCAGAACCCCTACTTTCCCTGGCTTCACTCCTCTGTGCGGATGAGGAAGAGCTAGACTATTAAAAACCAATCCATGTTCCACTGAGGTCAACCGGGGCTGAGCAAGCTTGACTCCAATGCTCCAGATGTTAACCCAAATAAGCCCTTTACATTCAATGGCTTGTAAAGCCCCTATAACTACACATGACCCTGTCTACACACTCAGGCTAAAATTTTTCTATAGCTCAGCCCCCAACCCTGTGCAACACTGCTAGCCCTAAGCACATTCCAGCTGGGACAAGTCCTGGTAACTACAAGCTACAAACAACTTCATTCTGAACCCTACAGGTTACATACCTTATTCTCCACAAAACCTCACCTGGTAGAACACAGCCCTTCAGAATTCTCTCAAAAGCAAGGGGAAACCCAGTTCTAATTAGAGTGAGCCAATTAGAGTACCCTCCACAGGTTAGGCTCCAAGCACACAACACACAGTGACTCCACAAGGACCCAGGCTGTTTCCCACATGCTTCCCAGTGAGGCTAGCAAACTACTTAAGCCAATGAACACAGAAATTTAGAGAATTTGCACTGAGCTATAAAAAATTATTGTAAAAATTAAATGGGCTGCCCCCCATCCTAGTTCTAAAAGCTATTGCCCCATACCTCAGATGTGTATTTATTGTCAATCTTCTCATTTTCTCCATCCAAGTTACAAGTAGTTATTAAAAACAAAACCAAAGACAACCCTTTGCGGAAAGAATATTAAAACCAACTAAAATTTGCTCAGGTAGAGAAAGGCTGCTGCCTCTACTTCCTGTCTTAGTTTTCTTGGGGTATCAACAGTTCACTGAAGTCACTGGAAAGCAATGAAAAATGCAGTATCAAATGCAGAAAGCTGAAAAAACACACAAGCTACATGTTTTCCTTCAGTAATTAACATAGTTAAGGTATTTTAGGTGTCATTCTTGTTTAAAAGTGAATGATGGGGAGTCATCCCTTAATTCAAGCTATGGCCTTTGGACTAGTGATTAAGAATAGGGCTTTAAACTTCACATCCTTGTTTTGGGGTACAATCTGCCACAGTGGAATGAAAAGCTAGTCACAACTTTTGCTTACCCCATAATGAAATAGGTAAATACAAATGTGTTAACTTATTCAGAACAACAAACCCAAACTCAGCAATCAATACCCTCCATGTCCACAAAACACTCCTCAGACCTTCTAAATGACAGCTACTGTGTACATCAGCCACTAAGAGCCACGTGGTCATCGAGGACAGCCTGGCCTTGAACTCAACAGCTGTTCTACCCCTAGCTGTGGGAAGAGCCATCTTTCAAAGACCAGCTACTATGGAGAAAGGGAAATGCCAGTAGCAACAGGTTATCTGGATGGCCACGGCCACCGGTAAAGAATCAGGGCACATGACAAATGGTTAACTGAATGATGGAAATGCCATAATCAAGTTTTATTTTCAAAACTCACATAATTTTTATATCACTGGGGGGAGGGGACAGAACTTCATTATTAAAGAAAACTGACTTAGAATAGTTTGGCTCTCAGCCACATATTTTAGGACAAAGGCTTTCTTTGCCTTAACTTATGGGTACTATTTCAAATTGTCCTCTTTGTCTACAATAATCTAAATTTTTAAAAAAATTTTTCTTCCCTTTTTGATGTTTAATATATCAAAGATAAATAGACTTGAGTAGAAAGCTCAGTTAGGGCATAAAATGTTGAGATTTTACTTATTTATTTGTGTGTATGAGTGTTCACAGTCCCCACAGAGTCTCAAAGGCAGGAGAAGCCCTGGGACTGAAGTTATAGATAGTTGTGAGCTTCCATGTTGTGCTGAGAATTAACCCTGGGTCCTCTGGAGGTGCTGCCAGTGCTCTTAACTGCTGAACATTCCATCTCTTTAGGCCCTCTGTTAGGGTCTTTAACAGATTAACTTTGTGTTGTTTAATTTTCCCTAAAAGCAAACAACACAAAGTTCCTAAGAGTAAACTACATTTTGGGGGCTACTGAAACATTTCTGTAAAGAGATGGGTAACTTGGTATGGCTCAGTAAGTAAAAGTGCCTGCTGCCAAGCCTGACCACCTGAATCCAACCTCTAGGTGCCACATGGTAGGAAAGAATCAGCTCCTGCAAGTTGTCCTGTGACCCTGATTCATGCTGTGGCATGAATACACATGTGCATTCAAGCGCTTGCTTATGCGTGAGTGTTGTGCCTACATGTATGTATGTGTACCACATGTATGCCTGGTACTTGCAGAGGTCAGAAGAAGCCGTCAGATCACCTGAAACTGTGGATATGTCATGGTCAACATGTGATGAACCATGTGGTGCTGGGACCAAACCCAGGCCCTCTGGGAAAAAAAAAAAAAATCTGTGCTCTTAAAAACACTAAGCCACTTCTCAGCCCTAATTTAAAAAAAAAAAAAAAATTAAAGAAATGTCTATCTTCAAAAATGCATTTTCACTGTGACTCTAGGTCTCTAGGAGCTCAACTACTTTAGGGCATAGCTTCCTGTTCTTTATAAACAATACAAATGTCTCAGGCTTTCTCCTCTTTTATTGCTTTAAAAACAACTGCCTCTCAAAACCAGCAAAAGATAGGAGGAGAAAGAATAGAATGAAGGTCTTTCACACATTGCTCCAATCTAGCTCAGACTAAAAATTTCATTACCTGCAACCAGGCAGCTAAAGCTAATTCTGAAAGTTCACAACACAATTATTCTGCCCAGTAAGTGAGTTCTATATAGATCAAAATTTAAAACGGCAATTTTTCTTTTTCTTTTTTTTAAAAGAAGGGGAACATGGTTGGTTAATAGAAGCATCCAGAACTTCTGTAGGATGAGAGCCCTGAGCTAACAAAAGAACCCCACACTGTTTTTTCCCCACATAATTTAAATTTCATCCATAATGTAGCATGTACTAGTTAGCTGCAAAATGTTTTCAAAATTGCATTTAAATTGTTTGTATAGTCACAGAATTCCTTACATTTCATGTTACTAACTATAAATGAAGCTTCCCAAGTCCAATCATGTTTTCAATTTAAGAGCACATATTAGGTTACTCTGAGGCATGCGGCCGAGGCCTTCGGGGAAGCACCGTACACACAGCCACACATCGTGACTGAATCCTTGCAGCATGTGGAGCTTTGGTGGTAAGAAGTCAGCCAAATTTCTTGATCAGTGATAAAAAGGTATGGACAAACTAAGAGAAGGAAAGGAAAAGCATCGGAGGTCCTCTCTGCCTCACGAGCTTCACACTGGAAGCTGTTCTGTGCCTGGTGTGGGGTGGTGCAAACTGCACTCTGAGCTA